GGAAAAAAGACGTTGAAAAATAAATAGTTCGAACGAGAGAAAGAGAACGACAATAAAAGTGTTGACATTGTGTCGACGTTTTGCCTATTTTGGTTAAAAACATTGTGATCGAATCATCGGCGTCACCATGGCCATGGATGCAATTGCGGTAGGTTTATTGAATTAAGTTGCGTCGCGTATGTGTAATATTTAAGACGAGACAAAAAAAAGCCAAGAAGTCAGTTCATTTATGCACTTTAAATAATCGCTATTAAACGTCAAGATGGCTGGGACGATGCAAAATGGTATTGGAAAAGCAAGCGGTTGCCAAGTGGCATGCTAGTGTGTGTGTGTGTGTGTTTTTTTTTTCAAGTGTAAGCATGATCAAACATGAACGAAAAATCCACTGACCAGAATTAAAATTCAAATATTTACGTATGAACGCAAACATACAACGAGGCTCATTTTTAATTTCATTGTCAGGCGCTCGTGTTACCGAGGATTCTTTATGGTCATTTTTTTTTTGTATACCATTCGCTGCAGTCGACGATATATTTTTTGTTGTTGTTGTGAAAAAAAGCGTACGCTTGCATATGGAAAAATGGTTGCTTCGCATTTAGCTGTGATAAAAAAGAGCGAGTCGGCAAATTGTTCGTTTAGTGTCCATTTTCATGCACTCACGTTTCGCATAAATCATACAAAAAAAAACAGCACAATCCAATGCATACGAGCCTGCTGTACATTTGAACAGAGCTCAAAAGTGCATTTTTCTTTCTCGTGTCTCTTTCTCTCATTCAATTACACACAGCGGCTGCGGATTCTCCTATTTCATTGCACAAAATAAATAGCGTTAAACAACAAATTTGCGGCATTTTAATGAGATGAACGAAAACACCGGGGTCAGACCCACAAAAGAGAAACTGAAGTTGATATATCTAATCGAAAGGAATTTCGCACATTCCACTAACTGTATATTATCTCGTTTCTACTGTGCACCACACACAAATTCACTTGCATTTATCGTAGAAAAACATTCATCTCTCGATATATTTTACGGATTGTGCGTAATAATTTTACGCTTACAAAGTGATCAAAAGACTCTTTTTATCATATATTTTGACGGAAAAAAGGTTTTTTTTTTGTTATGAAAACATGGATACTTTGTTTCATAAATGGTTTTGTCGATAAGTCATTTTGAAATGCCAATATTTTGATATCCTGTACATGTGTAAATTGAAACTCGAGCCAAACACATTTTTTTTTTGCAAAATTGCGGACGAAAAAAATCCTTCCCATCAATGTGCTCTGCATTCAATTTTAAATGACAATCATATGATCTCAGACTGAAAATGATAATGTTGTCAAATCGAAACAATGTCCAGGGACAATTAATTTAAATAAATATTGCGCGAACCAAATTGGTTTCATTTGAAATGTTTGGCGATATGTTCATCATTGCGAATAAACAGAGTCTAATTGGCGTCGACGCTAGCTCCACTAGAAGGAGATAGAGAGTGAGTGAGAGCGTGATTGTGTGTCGACGTTTACGAAACGAATATTCGTTCATTGTCTTCGAATGTAAACAATTTGCTTTACATATGCACGATTCATGCGAATTGTAAACACAACTGATTCCAATATGATTATAAATTGTCACACTGTCCTCTCTCTCGGTGTGTTTATCGATGTTGCCTTCGTCTTCTTTGTGTTCAATTTGTTTCAATGTTCAATTTCAATAAATTTTCGCTGATATTTTAATTGTTATCAATTGCATTGAACGTCTGCGGCAACTATTTCGCTGAATTTGATGTGTATGTATGTTGCGGCACGACTGCCGGTTTTATCGACGAATAACACCAGACTCGTTGAATCTGACTCGTTATCAATCATGATTGCTTCTAATCAATAAAAATGGCACAATCAATTGAATGCGAAAGAATCAAATGACGAATAGATTTTATTCACGTTCGCGCATTGACCCTAATTGATTAAATGTATGAATTGATCTATTTCGTTGAACATCTGTAATGATGATTGAATCGGTTTTAGTAGCCTCAGGCGCCAAATAAACTCATATAATAAAAATACAATAAAAGCTATGATATCATTTTCTGTTGTAATTATGAATCCGCCGATATATTTTTTAAAAGGAAACGAAGAAGAACTAGATGATTTGCCTTTTTTGTAGACGCTTTTTATTAAGTTCGTTGTGGTTTATAGAATCGATTGATTTGAACAATGCCGTTTTTTCCAACGCAAATCACACCATCAATTCATGTAAATTTAAAACCACAAATTACATTTTTGGTTGGCGGTGAATCATTTTATCTCTTCCAAACATCATCGTTCTGTGATATTTACCTAAAATAATCTTTGTTCAACGGATTAGCTTCGGTTTACCTTCAAAGTACGATCAAGTTGATTCTCTCATAGACCATGCAATGTTTATTGTAATCAAAATAGCGAAATTAGCATGAGTCGTGATTTTCCACCTAAATTTGTGTACTTTTTTTCCCTTAAAATCTCTTTTGTAGAATAGAAACAGAGAAAAAACGAAACGAAACGCTTGCGATTACTTAAGAAATTTGCTGGCAGAAAAAATGTGGTGCAATGTGTTGAGTAATTAACAATATTTTCTACAGAGCGATTATTTGAATTCGACTTTTAAGTCAATACCATAACTGCATGACATCACTAATATGCATGTCTACTTCAATACATTTTGTGCAAGAAATTTACTTTGTATGTGTGTTGTTTTTTCGTCCATTTTATGATTTATGATACCGCTTTCCCATTAAAATTTATTAATTAGAGTCGATAAACAAATGTGTTCGATATGCATTCATGAAGGCATTTTGCAAACGTCGAAGGCTTCGTCGATCACGACATATCGAGTGCAGTGTGTTCAAATAACGGGTTCGGTTTACATTCACTCGTGCATTTTGAACAACCCATCAATTGCTGAGCATAGTCGATTTTTCTACAGGAAAAATAACATCATTATTCAGCCATAATTTTTTTTATAACTTCACTAATAAATTACTACGAGCGTTTCTCTCTCTCTCCCTCTTGTATTCATGTTTTGATCATTTTTAAATTGCGGCAATTAACTCATTTGCAAACGATCATATTATTTGCCGATCGCTAACAAAGTCATTAAAGAAAATTATTATCGAACTCTGTCGTTATTTTGGTTTTTAAATTAAATCAATTTAATGAGTGATTAATTAATTTTTGGCTATTATCCAGCTTCCTTTGCCCATGGCGTTTCGGTTTTTTATAGAAAAACAAATATTCATAATCCAGCTGGAATGTGTAATCACTTCCCCAAATCATATTTAGTTTCCAGATTGATTTTACAAATTAATTTGCTAATTTTCACAATAAACGTTAATAAGCTGTTAATTTGTGTCGCTATTGTTATGCTTTATTCACGTTGAATTCGTAAATTGAATTACATCGAACAAAGCAAAATGGATGTAATGCAATTTACAAATCGTGCAACGCATTTTAACCGACGTAATACCGAAAAAATTACAATAACACGATAAACAATATAATATTAGCAATTCAGTGCATAAACGGCATGCGTAGAAATGGGCTTTGAAATTGTGCATGCGAAATGCTGAGTCGTCTGCTTAAAATTGTGAGAATAGTCGTTTTGATCCAATAAGAATGAACCACGTGCACTTTATTGTTGTACGTCTATTATTATTTTTTTGCAAATGTTGATGAATAAATTGAGCATTTGCTTCTTTTTGTGTCCATTTCAATTTGCCTACTTTTGCTCTTGAGCGGCAAACAATCGGTTAAATGAATAAAAATGACAAGAATTGCGCATTACAATCACTCTGCAATGCACTGTGTGTTCAATTTGCAAGGCTCAGCAGCTTTGTGACTGCAGCATTTAACGAGTTTAATGGCTCTGTGAACTATGATTTACATTGTTATTAACAAGTGCGCTCAAATCCATTTATAAATGGATTTTCTGTGTACCCGGAATAAAGAAAATCTACACAAATTCGCATTGTAAATAATTCAATTCGCACAATTGCCGTTGATACGCATGTCATGCTAAGTCTCACGACTCTTTCTCTTTTCACATTTCTTTGAGAAACGCTCGAATCGTCAGCGTGTGGTCAGCCAATTTTCAAAAACTCTTTGAGTTGAGAGTAACACACAGTCACACTTTTTTATCTGTATTTTTATTATTTTTTCTACTCAATATATTTATATCGCCCATCTGTGACCATAATTAACAGCAAAAAGCGGCAAACTAAAGTGGCAAACATTTCAACCGAACAATGACACTTTATTGTGACTACGCAAATAAACAGTCATAATTCAAAACCAAATTTATTGTTTTGTACAATATTGATGCAAGAAATACTGCGAACAAATTATTTTTAAAAATTCCAATGCTGATTCAATCATTTTTAACTGAAAATAAAAATAAAAACATAATAAATATGATGAGATTTTATTAGTTTATGATGACACAGTTTTCAGAAGAGACAACATCACAAGCATTTGACAATGAACTGGAGCTTTTGCGGGTGTTCTCTCTCAATGCATCGCCATCTCGGGTGTTCTTTTGGATAATAATTTGTCTTTGTTGCTGTATATGACCTTCTGTAAATTATTTTGAAAAAAAAAAAAAATTATTCGACGTACAACAAATCATGAACGCATTAACAATGCCGTGTTGCAAATATTTTATTAGTCACAATGTATGTGTGTTCGTTAAACTCTCAGCCAAAAGAGTCATAAAAAAAGAAGACAACATTCAAACCAGAGAGAAACGGCATGAATCTAAATGACATGATTAATTTCCGAATGAATACATTTTAGAATATCTTTACTTTATACAATTTTTTATTATTTCTTTTGTGTGTCCTCTTGAACATAATCCATCGCCGTGCGCGTTTTAATAAACTTGGAATCGTGAAAAAAAAATGTTTCAACTAAATGAAAGTAATTTATTTTAAAATATATATTTTTTGTTACTTTTTTTCTTGCAGTTGTTGAACTCGTTGGCAACCGATCTGGATTTAATGCTCAATGATTTAAGGTCAACGCCACCGAGATTTATTCAGCCAAGAGCTTCATTTCCAATTTTATCCACACATTTTGGGTAAGTACGCATCTTCCTTCATTTCATCCACAATGGCAATAATGACAAAAGTATACATTTCAAAAATGTAAACTCGTATTCCAAATCGAACTATGAATAAATTAGATTTTGACTTTATGTTTGCAAAATATTCGAAAAGTACACACAGAAGTGTTATCTCAACACAAATCTACGGAATCAAAGTGTGAATTTGAATAAAATTATTTATTATTGAAACGCACACGCATATTTCAGCTAAAAATTGCCGTCAGAAATACATGTTTATTGCCTGTGTATCGCAAAAACACAATTACGTGTGTGAGATAGAGTGTGAGAAGGAGAGCGAAAAATTTGCAGAAATAGCAACAAAAAAATGACGCAGACAAATCTACACTATAAAATGTAATGTGTGTGAATGAATGACCATAAATGGATTGAGCAACAAAACAAGTAACTGTGTGTACAACCACGCGCCACGCGATTCAGACGCAGTCTCGAATCTGGCTATGTTTATTCCTGTATGTATATTTGAAATGCTTATGGTTTGGCCGTAAAAAAAGTATGAATAATTTAGAAAATGCGAAACTAGATGCAATGAAATTGGCTATGATGACCCTAGGAGAGAGTAACAGAGATGAGAAATATTTTCGAAATTGTTCAGTATATTCAAAAACATGTAGCAAAAACCTCAAAACACGTCTGCCATAACCGATAGAATTTTTGAGTGTTTCAGTGCGCATCTTTGATGTTTGATGAAACACAAAATTGCATTTACTATCTATATTATTCTCGGCCAATTGCCGAAACACATCCCGCCTATTCTAATCGAAATGTACACATTTTATGTGCGATGCGATGCAAAAGGTGCCCAAATATATTTTATTCAACCATAAATTCAGTTTGCTTGTTTCGAAATGCAATGCATAGCAATTTCTTGAGCTCCATCGATATCGGAGAAAATTGATGACACCATCCACTACCACCGCCGTTCTAACGAAACCATACATATTTAATGCAGCACATGGGAAATATTCATTCGATTGGCAGACACACTTATCAAAACAGCCCGGCATCACCACCACCACCACCACCACTCGGCACTACCATCAATCCAATTTAACATGTTTTCAAAATATTTGGCTGTCGATTTGGTTGTTTTCAGGCTTTATAAATTGCATTATTAAGCAGTGGTCTCATTAAATCGATCGTCAATATGATGAAAATATTCATGGAATCAATGGGTTTTTGCTATCATCAACATCTATTGGTATTGCTGTGAACACTCAATGGATATCTAAACGAAAATTCTATGGTTATTGCGACGCATGGAATTTTATCAGCAAAATTCGAATTGATGAACATGCTACCACCAAGTTGGTATGGTTACATTTTATGTCGATATTGGAAAATTTTAGTGGTTGAATTGTAAACACAAATATGTATACAATTCACATAGAGTTTGATTGGTTTCGCATTTTTTTCATCTCTTTGAAACTTCGTCCCTATTTAAAAAAAAGTCATTTTTTGACAGCAAATCGGTTTTGCGGTTCATTGTAAAATGTAAGTGATTTTTATACATTTTGATTGGTAACAAATGACTCGGAAAATGTGTTTATTTAGTGTTCCCCCTTCACAATGAACAATGCTCATAAAATGTTTTGCGGTAAAACCTCAACCATTTTTTGTTCATGTTGATTACTATGTGGTTGCTTTTCACTTTTTTCTTGGAAGCTCCCTTTTCCCATAAATCGCATGATTGATTGACAACCGAAAATTTGGGAGATGGAGCATCACGACAAAACAAATACAATTCAGATAGAATTTGCCAAAAAGACTTTTTTAAAGTAATATGTGTATATTTTATGGCCCAATAAAATAACATTATAAAAAAAGGATTTACAAACAAATCCCAACCTTTTTCACAGACATTAAATTCACCTTTATTGTGTTTTCTCTGGGATTTATTATTGAAAAAAGTCGTTTTTGTATCGTGCTTTGACCTCTTAGATTGTGGAATTGTTTTGGCATTTTGCATGAACCTGTTATATTTTGGTTGGACCACACCTTGACTGGAATACCAAGCGAAAAGATCGCAACAAGTGACATTAAAGACAATCGGCTCGGCAGTAACTCTTAAAACACACACCGATATTATATTAAGATATAGAAAATAAACTAAAATGCACAACGAAACAACAGATAAGACGACGAAAAAAGAGTCTTTCACAAATTTGACATAAATCTCATGTTCGGTTGTGGTTATTTTTTTATATTTGTGTGTAAAATGTAATTGCCGCTGAAAGCGCACTGAATTTAATGGAAAGAATTGTGTATGCGTTTGCACACGCGACGATGTCTAAAAGACCGATTTGTTTTACCGAAAAACCCGAGCACATGCATACAAAAGCGATAAATTAGCCATTCACCTACGAATAGGCGTTGATGTTTCTTACATAAATTGAATTTTTACTACGGCGCGCTGCATGCACTAAACCGCCTCTTCTGATCTTTAAATGCGAATATTTACAAAGAGCCAAACATAAATTCAATTTCATTAACTAGTTTTTAAAACGTACATAAACCTTACCAAAATGCTCTTTCAATTTTGAAAGTTTCAAACAAATACAACGCCTTGTGAAATATGAAGAGCGAAGAAAAAAAACTATGCAAATATACTTCGAAGAGATTGTTCGCATAATTTTCATCTTAAAGAATAAAATGAATTGAGTGACGCAAAAAGTTAGTTTGAATTTACACAATTTAAAGATTTTTTTCGAATTTTCTGAAGATTAAGTACAAACACTTCTTACGTCTTGTGCCAAATACTTGACTGAAATTCTAGATCCAAAATCTATTAATTTCTTCATATGCACGGGATGTGTGTATGTTTTTATTCACTACACTCATTATTTTGTATAAAGAGTTTTTCATGGAAATGCGCTAAAAATGTGAAAAACAAATCGGATGAGTTTAATGTTGTTAAAAATACCATTTTTTCGCTTAATGATATTGATGAGTTCAGATTTATGTTCCTCGCATCATCTTTCAACGTATCGAATTCAATGCGACTTCCCCTCTGCAGGAAGTCTCGATTTTCGACGCAGTTTCCAACCATATCATGTGTTGCTGAAATGTAATATTGTGCACTTGAAAGCACTTAAAATAAATTAAATAAATATCAATGATGTAACCTCATTAGCATTAATTTTTTTGCTTCTCGACTCAATCTTCAGAAGCCATAATGAAAATGGGGAATAAGTAAGAGAATGCGTAGTAAATGTGATGTTTAACTCATGTCAGGTATATATATGAGGAATTCTTGGTGCAGAGAAAGAGATTCGTGTTGTCTGCAACAAAAAGGAGATTAACATAATATTAAATAATCGCATTTTTAGTGTATCGCATCTTAGATTAATCTCTTATTCCCATCATCATCATCATCATTATTGTTTGTGCGTTATGCTCTCTTGCCCAAATGGCTGTAGAGCAAATGGTATTGTTGTCTTGATCTTGCAACATGATGAGCCTCGTAATTCTGATGTATGTGTTGTGTCCATAAGGACGCACATTTGTTCGGCACGGAAGGCAACAAATGATTCTTAACACAAGTACATATAGATTTTCACCCTCATCGTTGACGTTGGACTATCTCATTGTTTGAGAACAACACAATTGGAGGCGTTATATGAAATTGTATCCAATTTCTGAATCATTTGGGGAATTTGCTTTGTTTGCCAGAATACAGAAGACGCACGGTAGACATATATGTGGACGACGAATGTCCTTCGACCATTATGTGAGGAAAAAAAATACTTACATTGTGATGATAAAAATATTTCCTTGTCGTTTTTCAGTTGGGCTTTACTATTTAATTTCATTCATTGTTCACAATCGTTTCAATGGATTGTATGCAATTTTTCTGATTACTTTCCATACAAATGAATGGCATGGCATTTATTTGAGCTTCTATTCAGAAAATTGCCCACCTGAGAACAATTTCATATGCAAGAGGCTCATTTGCTAATTGTATTGAAAGATTGTAAAACTACTGCATAGTGAAGAATTAGCACACATTTCCTTCATTGATTTTGAGGTGCAATTAGTTTCTTTTTATCAAAAAAAGGTACTCCGATTAGGTCATGGCTTACGACATTTACTCGGTTTGTACATCAACAAATGGGGCCTCTGTCATTGAAGCCCCACTGTTGCACACGAAATCTTAAACAGCAACCATTTTTTTTTTGAAAAACTTGAATGTTTTTTCGTTCAAATAAATTCATTGTTTGAAAACAATGTAAATCTATCTCCAATGGAGGTCGCTTCATATTCATACAATAAGCTACCAAATAAAATACTCAACAACAACAGAAGAATGGTTATACGTATGAATTATTTTGGCATGTCGAAGCAATGTTGATATATTATTCTTAATTAAAACGGTTAATAACATTCCCTATACTTTATGAATGGCTGAGATATTTTCCGCGATTTCTGTTTTTTTTTCTTCTGCGAAACGGTTGCAGTCTTGATGTCTTTTGGTATAAATATCATGCGCCCCACACACTCGCCATACTGTGAATGAAATGAATGGCATTGCCATCGTAATTGTACGAACAATGCATTCTATTTTAGGTGTATTGCTAAATATGAGCTACATATTTGAAAATTTATAACTACACCAAATATGAAGTGGTACACGTATATTTGCACGAGTAGTGCGATGTGGCTAAAATTGCAGAAATATATTTTCCACTTCCGTCTCTTGAACGAGAAATTGGCTTCCTATAAAAAGCGAACACTGAAGCGCACACCAAACGGGATTTATTCTTCTAGTTCGTTTTTTTTTGCATTTTTCGCTGACAATGTATTCTGCCAATTTCAGTTGATATTACTTGACGACAATGGTTGGCTAGACGCCATGCAGCATTTTCTATTCCATTGTTCAACGACTGCCGTTGAAGTCAAACAAATAATATAACAAATTACAAACATCAACAATAATACGGTTGAATACAAAAAAA